CTGTATCCAAGTGTAATGTAAGGCAAAGGATGTTAAGCAGAGTGAGCCACTTGCTGCTGGTGAGAGAGACTCTATCTGTGTGTCAGGAACACCGAAGACTGAGCATCAAATCATGCAAGATTTGATACCAACTAGCATCTCCGAGAGAAGTGGGAAAAGATGGAAAACAACCACTGAAGTCCCGGTTGATCTAGTAACGTAAACTGAGACAGGCCTCACTCCACCTGCGTGCCAAGGCTCGACAAATTTACCCAGCATCCACCACAATCAAACAGCCTGACCAAGCAGTAAGGTCCACACAGGTGCCCATTAATCCTCAACGTATGCTAAAATGTAACAAGACTAAAAATTAACGTTGAAGAGTAATTATTAAAAAGCAAAGGCTGGGGTTGAAGACAGCTCTGAAGTTAAGAGCCTTGCTGCTTTTCCAGAAGACCTAGTTCACTTTCCAACACCCACCTCAGATGGTTCGCAACCATCTGTCTCTCCAGCTCCAGAGGCTCCAACAAAAACAAAATAAATCTTATAATAACAATACAAATAATTAATAAAACACTGGAGGTGAAGTTTAGTGGAAAATACAGGAGATGATCAACAAAAACTTAACTATATAAAAATACCATAAGGAAATAGGTTAACTTCATATACTAATTTAAATATGTATGCATGTATTGTGGTAGCTTTAATGAAAATAGCTTCGATAGACTCATAGAAAGCAGCATTATGGAGGGGTAGCCTTGTTGGGGGATTGTGTTCTCTGGGGGTGGGTTTTGAGGTATCAGAAGCTCAAGCCAGTGGCACACCCTCCCTTCCTGATGCCTCTGAATCTTCACGTAGAACTCTTAGTTCTTTCTCCAGCACTGTGTCTGCCTGCGTGTCACCATGCTTCCCACCATGATGACAATGAACTAAACCTCTGAACTGTAAGCCAGCACCAATCAAATGTCTTCCTCTATAAGAGCTGCAGTGGCCATGGTGTCTCTTCCCAGCAACAGAACCCTCAGACATGTGTGCATATCTATCACTCTGATCGTGCAATGTGATACAATTATAATTAATTCATCAAAGGGGAAATCAGTACAGCAATTGTACAATTAATGAAAGCAAGAGCAAAGAGAACACAGATTGACACATTTAAAAATAATTATTTAAGCCAAAGGAAAATCAGCATAGCAATTAAGTCACGCCTTGAGAGCAGAGATGAAGAGAGAAGCTGACAATGTGTCAGGGCTTCTGTCAAAACTTAGATCTGCAAGGGAGAGGGAAGCCTTCGGGACTTTTATTATTAAACAGGAAAATGTGGATTCATGATGAGTTCTGTATTCAGTTCCAAAATGTAAAAGTGTTCTGGATATGCAGGCATATCTACAATCCCAGCACTAGTGAAGTGGAGGCAGGAGAATCAGAAGTTCAGGGCTAGCCTCAGCTACATAGTAAGTTTGAGGATAGCCTGGGCTGCATGAGACCATGTCTCAAAACCAAACAAAACCCCAAGAATTTTTAATGTATCAATAAAACCAAATTAAGAGAAGAATGAAGAGGAAATTATAAGAACTAGAATGGATTTAACAAGGTAGAAATGAAAAACACAGTTTAGAAACCAGAATCCATTCTCTGGAAAGAGAATAAAGAGAACCTGGAGTTGGTGGTTAAGAGCTCTGGCTGCTCTTGCAGAGCGGGCACAACAGTGCACACCTTTAACGCCAGGAGGAGGATCTCAGGGAGATTAAGACCAGCCTTGTTGTCTATGACGTGAGTTCCAGGACAGCCATGGCTACACAGTGAAACCCTGTCTAAAAGGTGGAGAAGAGAGGAAAATACCCAGGTTCAATCTTGGGCTTCCACACAAGCACGTACAAGCAGGTGGGCAACCTAACACACGCAACTCATACACACAAACACGTTTTAGAAAATTCTAGAAAACATGAGTTGACAAAAGTCATGAAAGAAACTGACAAAGGGGTCAGCAAATCAACTTCCTAAAAGGGTAAAACTTAAATGACCTCACGAGCAAATTTGCCTAATCGTAAAGGAAGGGAGAAATTCTAGAATGATGTAAATTTCTTCAGAGCAGTCAGAATAGTGAGTGTGTGTGTGTGTATGTGGTGTCTAAGGGTGTATGTATGTGATGTGCATTATGGTTTATGTGGTGGGTGTAAATATGTGTGTGTATGTTTGTGATGTGTGTGTATGGTTTATCAGGTGTGTGCAAGTTAGTGGCACATGTGTGCTTGTGTGTGTGTGTGTGTGTGTGTACAGCTCCCCCACTCATATGAGAGGAAGTAGCATACCTCGATAGTGAAATAAAGCACCATGATGTACAGAATCTAGGAGGACAGAGTAACAGACCTTTGACCAGAGCAAAGGTAGGGCGCATGTTCTGCTTCCGGCTAGTGTGACTCCAGTCCTCACTAGGTTAACTTGCAACAGTGACCTATGTCCGTCAACAACACAGAGCAGTGTAGACACATTACAAACCCAGTGTCAGGAAAGCCCTTATCCACTAGTTTTACTTTAGTTTGCATTCCAAACTCCAAAATCTGGAAAACATTAATAAGCAACATCAATTAACATGAATTTACTTATACATACCTCTTCAAAGATAAATTTGACCTGGGAATTTACAAGACCCCAATACAAACTACTGCTTTCATTGTATCTTGAAAATAAAATTTCCTGAAGTTCAGATTTACCTACACCTACTGTGTATCCTATGCCTCCCTATGCCATAACTCTAACAGTTAAGATATACAAAAAGCCAGGTCTACCTGATTTCAAAGATTACACTTTTTTCCTAATGGAAAAGTCATGTGAGGGGTAGTCAGGTATTTGGAAGAAGAGCTGTCATTCTGACTCAAGGACAAACGCGACTGAAGTCTTGTGATGACAATCTTCAAAAGGAGACACACCCCCGAAGGCCCATGGGAGTTCATTCACTACAGTTTCCCTAATTGCGTATCGATTTCTTATCTTTTCTTCACGTTATATACCTGAAGTAAAATAATCTTCATTCCTGAAAAGCCCTAAGAGTTGTGGCAGCCAGGGTGCTATTGATGCCTGTGGTCCATGTTACCACCAAAGGCCAGGGGGTTGCCCTCGATCTGTGTGGCCACCATGTTGATGTCTGTGGTCTGTACTGTTGCCAGAAACCACGTGGAAGCCCATGATCCTTGCTGCCTCTGACTATCAAAGGTAAGGAAGCTTCTTTTGCAGTGGTATTGATGATCACAGACTCACAGTTGAGAATGGGAGACACAGAAGGCTTGTGGGACAATCTCTCTCCCCCATCCCCACCCCCAAATTAAAATCAAAGAAACAGTCTAGACATAGAGCCATTGAAGAGAACTCTTTAAGATTGTAATAGGGATGCTGAAATGTAGCTCTTCACAGTTGACGGCCTCTCACAGGGGTAGGGATGGGGAAGACTCAGTTTTCTTTAAGTGGCTGGCCACTGGGAGTTTCACCATGCTCCAGTGAGTGTGTGTGCAACACAAATTGGACTTGATTTTTCTCCTCCTCCTCCTCTTCCTCCTCTTCTTCCTCCTCCTCCCCCTTCTCCTTCTTCCTTCCCTTTCCCCTCCTTCCCTCCCCCTTTCCCTTTTTCTGTTTTAGGGGCAGTCAGAAGGGTGGGAGTGGACCTGGGAAGACTGGCAAGTGAATGTGATCGGGTGTATTATATAAAATTTCCAAATAATCAATTAAAATATTATGTTTTTAAAAAGTCCAAAGAGGCCTAACTTCATAGCTGGTCTTATATTATTTCAATAGGCAAACCTTTTTATTACTTTTCTCTGGTCTTAGACTGCCATCTCCCAGTGCATGGTAACAGCAATATCTGAGGACGATCTTCTCAATGAGTCATCAAACAACTAGTTACAAAGGGACTTGTTGAAAATAACAAATGGCACAAACTGCTGCCCAAAGTTTATCTATAAGTATTATTTAATACCAATTCTTGTCTTAATTAAGTACTTAGTTTTTGGTTTTTGTGCTTACATGTGCATACACACATGTATATGAGTGACCACAGAGGCCAGAAAAGAACATTGGATCTCCTGGAACTGGAGTTCCAGATTGCTGTGTTACATATGTGTGAGCTAGAGGGCAACATTGGGTATCCTAAACCATTTATGTTTTGAGACAGTCTCTCAATAGCCTGGAGCTTACTGATTTGGCTAGACTGGCTGGTCAGCAAGCCCCAGGGATCCTTCTGTCTCTTGGTGCTGAGATTTCAGATGCATAACTGCTCAAGGCTTTTAACGTTTGCTGGAAATCCAAATTCAGGTCCTTGTACTGTGCGCCCAGCATTTTACCACCTGAGCCCCCACCCAGTTCTTATTCCTCCTCCTCATCCTTTTAGACAGAGTTTCACTATGCAACCCTGGCCAGCCTGAAACTCATTGTCGACTATGCTGGCTTCAAACTCACAGAAGTCCACTTAGTTCTGCCTACAGAGCGGAGCGTTAGGATTAAAGGTGTGCACCACCACCCCTGGCTCCTCCTCCTACTTCTCAAAGCTCCTTTGGGTCCACTCCCCCATTTACCAACACAGACCTTTCTGCACTCTGGGGCTACCTCCTTCCCCCCTTAACCACTCTTGACCTAACTCCCCAGCCAGAGCTCACAGTAGCTGAGAAGGTGACCTTTAGCCTCTCTGTTCCTCCTCTTCCTTCATCAAGGGAAAGAAAGGCCTGTAGGGCTTCCTAGCAAACTTAAGCTGTGAGCCCCTCTACTCCCTGTACCCCTGCAAATCCATGGCATCAGCATCTGGTCCTTTCTGTTACCACCCACCCCTCGCCCAGGGCTCAGCTGAGAGACAGTCGCCAGTGCCACTCACCCGGATGACAAGAGAACAAGAATGTCTGCTCCTACTGCTCTGGTTCCACCCATGGAACAGCCTCAACCCTTCACTCACACCAGCTGAAATCCCCTGCCCTGCTGGCTTCCAGCATCCTCTGCTCAGAATTCTCTAGGAGGAAAAGCTACTTCCTTCCACCTACCAGCTGTCAGGAAACCAAGGATGGCAGGCACGGAGCGGCGGGGAGGGGCCACAGAAATGCGCATGGTGTAGTTGGCACCTTGTTGGAGGTGAAGGCACACTTCCGGGGTCCTGCTGTCTGTGATCACGTTGACTGTCTCCTCGCGAGCGGATTCCACAGCATTGGGCTGCTGTCTTTCAATGTGTATCTTTAGAAGAGGAAAGGCAAGAGGATTCACCATGACTTGGATCAGAATGACAGAGACTTCGTGGTCCTCTGCGCTGTTTCCTCTGCCGTCCCATTTCAGATACTGTGTAACCAGGGAGGAGAGAGAGGGCTGGCTCTGCCATGAGGGACCCGAGGACAAGATCTAATCATCCCAGGGACCAATGGGTCCTAAGCTGCGACGGGAGTGAGAACTCTATTTGGGATGCTCTCCCAACCACAAATGTGAAAGGTTTCAGGGTGAGCTGGGACCTTCGCAGGCTTCGTGGAGTTTGAGGAACAGTGTGGGAAACAGAATACACCATGCAGAGAGAGCTTGGGGGAGTATGAAGTTTTATTTAGGAAGAGGGTATTGGGAAGGTTTGGGAGGGGAGGGAGGAGAAAGGGAGAGATAGAGAGACAGACAGACGAACAGACAGCCAGAAAGAAAGAAAGAGACAGAGAGAGGAGGAGGAGAGAGAAGAGGAAGGGGGGAGAGCTGCCTCTTCAGAAGAAGAAGGAGAGAGAGAGACACAGAGACAGAGACAGACTGGGAGTGGGCGGTGCTTGTCTTTTAAAGGGACAGGGTACTGCCTGGATTCATTCTGCCAGGTGATCATTATGCAGGCCAGCATAATCATAACAAAATGACCAACAGTAAAAGGAGGTCCTAGCACCAATTCAGCATATGCTTCCAGCCTCGCTGAGGGAGAAAGGATAAGCGCTTGGAAACCAGCGCTATGAGAATGCCAACCATAAACACGTGACCCACGGCCACATTTTGTTGGATGACATATACATTAGACATAAAATATGTGGATATCTTAAAAATCTCACCCACTTTTTTTTTAAAGGGCACTGGAACAAGAAAATATTTAGCCTGCTCTTCCCATCTCTCATTCAAACCGTACAGTTGGTAGACAGCAGCATTAAACGGTATAATTTGGTGGTTGTTCCTAGATACAGAAACATCATCATTTTACGTTCATGGTTACTTGTGTGATGATAGCATGTAAGACCCATTAAAGAAAACCATCCTTTTCTAACAAAAGGACGTTAACAGTATCTTCTAAACCCCTCTTAGCTTTGGGTTGGCTCCAACTGAAATTTTTGCTGAAGAGGGTATCCAAAGAGAGTTTGCAAAATGAAGGAAGTTCACCCAGACTTGAATATGCAAGGAATAGCCAAGCCAGACTTTACACCAAGTGAATAACCATGCTGTTTCGTAAGTTAAAATAGCTGTAGCTTGTTATTATACATTCGCAATGTTGTTATACACTTCACTTTATATGACTGAAGGAAGGAAAAGACAGCTGAAGGGAGGGAGGGAGGTGGCAGAAAGGTGTGTGTGTGTGTGTGTGTGTGAGAGAGAGAGAGAGAGAGAGAGAGAGAGTGAAAGAGAGAGAGAGAGAGTGAGAGAGAGAGAGAGAGAGAGTGAGAGAGAGAGAGAGAGAGAGAGCATGTGTGTACATGCGTGCGTGCATGTGTGTGTGTAGTGGAGGGGGGTGACGTTCCCACGTAGGCCACGTCCTTCTGACTCACACTTCCATTTCTGCATTAGGAGGGCAAGCAGCTCACATTACTTACCATGTACATAATCTTGGAGTTTATGCTTTCTGGGCTTACATGCCACCTCACACAGCTGTCATTAAACACAGACACATCGTGAATTTCGACCATTATTTCTAGAACAGAAAAAAAGAAAGAGAAAAGAATTGACTCATGAGCTGTACCAGTGGGCTCTGGGAGAATCCTGGTGGACGCGGTGCATCTGTCCAGCTGGTGTCTCCCTGCTCACCACTCACGCTCTGACTCAGATGCAGAAGTGAGCAGTCTGAGCAATCCCAGATGGCTCCCCATGAATGAGCCTGGCCCACTGCCTGGCCAGGCAAAGAAAGAAAAAGATTACTGCCTGAGGGTGGGGAAGAGCTCCAACTGTGATTAGCCTGACGGACCACTGGATGCCACTGGTGTTCCTTCCATCAGGTAGGCTGGAGCAAGTCCAGAACCGGTCGGATTGGCAGCTTCCTTAAAGCCACACCAGGAAGATGCGGGAGTCTGCCCTCCTCATCTTACCCTGAGTGGTAGGCAGTCATTCAAGTGACCGCTGTTCCCAAAAGGAAAATGGCACGTTATCACCATGCAGGGTGACTCCCCAGGAGAAGCTAGGGATGACCTGGGTAAATGCTCCATAGAGTCCCTGATCACCCTGGGATTCTGCTAGCAGAAACCATGTGATCCTGGTCTGGTGAGAAGTCATGATTTCTCTGGGTTCTGCTTTTTCTAAGTAACCTGCAATTCTATTCCATGTGATGAGTCTGGCAATGTGGGAAAACACAAGAGTTCCCTTATGTGACCGTTCCTAATGGACCCCGCCAGCCAGCGTGGTATGGGGAAAACCTACCTTTTCATTTTTTAAAATCAAATTGCCTATAGGTATGTAAAACCATTTCTATTTGCAAATGGCATGATCTTATTTGCATACACTCTGAAGGAATTAAAACTTAAAAAAGAAAAAAAAACCCACAAAAGTTAAGAAAAGAGCTCAGCCAGGTTGCGGGACAGAAGGTTGATATGTGTTCCTGTACGACAGAAATGAATGATTAAAGGAAAATAAAGCAATTTCTTTTATCATCAAATCAAAAAGGGGGAAAAACCAAACCAAAACACTTTTAAGTTACGCATTTCACTTTCATCCCTGGAGAGAAGAATTCTCATTTCATCCAAAAGGAGAAAGAATATTCCCCGGCCCTGTTCAAGCTCTCCTGGAGGCAGACACAGGCTCCTGGGTCTGGTGTGTGCCAGCCCTGCGTCCACTCTGGAGATGTGACTGTGCTGTGCCTCCTGATCTGGGGCTTCCTGGCCGTGGCTCACACACTCCAGCACAGGCAGCCTGGAGGGGGAGAGGAGCAAGTGGACCAGTCACTTCCCTTTTCTCCCTGGAGGCAACTGTCCTATGTGACTGAGTTTCCACAGCCTTTCAGAATGCTGTACCAGCAGGGGAGCAGTCCCACCTACCAGGGGGAGACCAGGACATTATGGCATCTTCACACTGGTTCTTTCTTTCCTTATTATTTTCCTTATTATCCCTCCCGGCCCTCAGTCCAGCTTCCTGGAATTTTACTCCCCGTCACATAATAATACAAACCCCTGGTTCTGTTTTGGGAGAAATTCAAGTCTTAATGCCTTAAGACAAGTGAGAAGGCTGTTCGCCTCATAAGCACGAAGGCTTGGGTTTGATCTTCAGAACCCAAGCTCGCTTGTTTGCTTGCATATTTATTTACTATGGTTAGCCTGAAGGGTCACTGGATATCGCTGGTGTTCCACGTGGTATTGCGTGCTTACAGCCCCAACTCTAGGAAGGTGGCGACTGCTGGATCCCTGTCCCATTTAGGAGGTGAGCTCCACGTCAGTTCAAAAGCCCAAGTTTGGTTCCCAGCACCCACATCAGACAGTTCACAACTATAACTCCAGCTCCAGGGGATTTGACTCAGGCACCAGCAACCACAGCACACCCACACAGACACATTAAAATGAAAACAGCGAAATAGACGGCTTCTGTGGAACAATATCCAAGGCTGACCTCTGGCCACATCCATGCGTGCGTGCGTGCGTGCGCCTGTGTGTGTGTAAGTGAGAACTATAATTCCTTTACCTGGGGAGATAACATCCCGCTAACTAGCTCCTGTCCCTTCCCTACAGTAAATCTCTTCTTAGCCACCAAGAGGAATAAAGAGCCCGGACCTTAAAACCTGCAGAGCTAACTCAGTTTTCTTGTACAGAACCAAAGACAAATTCGAATCCACCTGGCCTACTTGGCATTATCTTGATTCTATGTCCAGCCGCACCTGTTTTGGGGCAAATCCAAACTGTCTATTCATAATAAGTGGGAATAAACTGAGGCAGAGAAGACAATGCGATGAAGCCTAAAATAACCCATAGGTTCTCATGACAGTGATTCTCTTTGGAACACAGAGAATGTGGGGGAAAAAAAAAGAATCCAGGTGCCAGCATGAATAAGCAAGGAGACGTAATGTAATGGCCTTGTTGGCTCACCTCCTCGGGCAGCAATGGTGATGCTGGTACCAGAGTAGCAGCTTGAACAAACTTCAAGTATACTGACACCTTCTGCTGCTATCCTTCCAAGCCTCAGAACTCTCGCATCTCCGCTCACTCACAGGGCCTTCTGATAATAACTCAGCACCTGGTACAGAGGAAAAAGAAATCTCTCTCTCCCCATCTTCTCCCTGATTGCCAATAAAGCAAACAGCCTTCCTATTTGGGGTGACTCTGTCACCCAAGCAGAGATTGGAGAAGGGTTTCCTTTCTTGTTCACTATGACAACTGCAAATGACATCTCAAAGCTGCCATCTGCCTCTAGCCCGTGCCACGCTCTGCACAGATGGGACCCAGATCTGACTATAGAGACACCGGATATCCCACCCCCAAAGAGTAGCTGAGCAAAGTTGGTGACTCTTCCCACCGAGAACCTACAAAGGAGGTGAAAAGACTTTTTTATAGAGATACCAGCGCTGCCCTTTGAAACTACAACCCTTGCACACTAATTCTAACTTTGCCTATAACTGAAAAACACACACAGGCTGACAAGATGGCTCGGTGGATAGAAGAGCTTGCCAACGAGCCTGATGACCTGAGTTTGATCTCGAACCCCTAAGGAGAGAACACACCCCCTAAGTTGTCCTCCAGCCTCCACGTGTGCACAGTGGCATGCACACACCAACACCTACACACAAATAATTAAACAGACATCATAGGCATTGAAAAGAGGGGCTGGAGAGATGGCTCAGAGGTTAAGAGCACTGGCTGTTCTTCCAGAGGTCCTGAGTTCAATTCCCAGCACCCCACATGCTGCCTCACAACCATCCGCAATGGGATCTGGTGGCCTCTTCTGGCCTGCAGGCAGACATGCAGGCAGAACACTGTCTGCATACTAAATTTAAAAAATCATAAAAGAAAAGAAATTGAAAAGAAGGGAAAAAGGAAAAGAAGAAAACCAAGTAGGGAAGTCTTTGAAGCAGCCTCTTCAGTTACTGCTCACAACCTACAGAATTGCTACCCGTGAGGAAGACTCCACCTCCATTTTTCCCTCAAGAAACATATTGCCCAACGGAAGGAGCAAACACAGATGCAGGCAGATTGCAGCTCAATAGCATTATCACGGGCTCCACACAAATACTGAAGGATACAGAACAGGAAGATAGCAGATGTCACTGGAGGACCTGGGAAATTCAGTTTCACGGAGGGCGCAGCCTCGGTAGATAAATGGCTACAGAGGAGCGAGGACGTGTGAGCAGAAAGAACGGGTCTGAATACCATGCTCGTGAAAGGGCGGGGCAGGAAAGAGCAAGCGGTGATGGGGAGATGTCAGGTTGGCACAGAAGTGAGGCTGCAGAGGACGCACAGGAGGGGACTGGAGCGGGCTTGCTTGCTGGATTAAAGGCACACTCCTCCAAACAGAGCCAAGCTGCAGGATAATGAGAGGGCCAGTTTTCCATTTGGAAGGAAGCACTAGAGCGCAGAAGAACCGGAGGTCATAAAACAGAATATAATACTGTTTACTCAATGACAACTATACGTCAGGATCAGACTGCTCTTGACAGACTTGATCTCATTTTCCCAGCAGTCATAAGAAGCAATAATAAAAACAATAAGAGCGAACACTTATTGAGTTATAACTATGAACCAGAAAGTGGGCACAGGACTTTAACGTTCAAAATATCCTGATGACTAGCCATCACCGTGTCCATTTTATAGACCTGAGGCGTGGATGTTAAGGAACCTCCAAGGGGCTAGACAGCATGAGGGACTGAGTCCGGACTCACAATTAGATGCATCACACTCCACCATGGAGAGCCTTTAAACGGAAGCAGATACTCAGGCAAGAGGTTAGGACATGAAATCGGGGTACTGTACTATGAAACTAGAAACAATTCTGAAGGAGATGAATGGGAGGTGACGGAGCAGGAACAGAGAGGAGCCCTGGCTGACAGCCAGCCTCTGTGCTCAAGGGTCTGAATGAATCACCCTTCACTGCTCTCCAAAGAAACACGAGAGGAGGCAGAGCGAGCCTGGAAGAGGGAGCGATGGACTGGTTTGAGGACATGCCAGATGAGAGGGGAGCTGTCTGCTGACCGTCCAACGGTCGAGCAGCCTTAAAAGCCATGGATCTGTGAGTGAAAGACACAGGTAGTGAAAGTGAGACATAGAAGTAGGTCATGGAGAGGGGCTCAGTGGCAGAGCCCCAAGAACCATCCCTGCTCTAGAGAAGCTGGAGCAAGGGCAGTGCAGGGATGAGAAGGGGAGTAGCTAAGAGAAAGCCAGCTCAGGATGGGAAGGAAGGGGTGTCTCTTTCTTAAAAGCAGCCTCCATTCACACTCAGCTTCCTCACTCAGCCCAGGTAGGGTGTAGGGTGTCATTAAAGTCCAGGGGCAAGGTCAACCTCCCTCCCCCATCTTTTTTCCTTGCTGAACCAACAACACAGTCTCGCTTTGACAAGGGGTTTGACCTTGGGCAGAAGTAGAGCAGGCTTTGGTTCTGTCCAGCTGTAGGACAAATAGGCATCTTCAATTTGACAGAGAAGGGTCCTACAAGGTTTGGTTATGAACAAACTAATTCTTCCCTTTTTTGTGTGTTAAGTCCTAAATGAAAGTCATGTAAAATGAGTAAAAGTGAATTACAAGGTGTATGGTGATATTTTTTTTGTGGCATTTGAATAAACATTTATATGTTCATTGGGTGTTAATTTTTTTGTGCACATTGGGAAAAACGCTAGCTCATCAAAGTCATGAGATATACCCCATACTACAAAGAATTCTTGGTTGTTATATTAAAACTACAAATTTAAATATCTGTCAGGTGTCTTGGGGTTTCTCTTGCTGTGAAGAGACCCCCATGACCGCAGTCACTCTTATAAAGAAAACAAACTGGGGAGGCTCGCTTACAGTTTCAGAGGTTCAGTCCATTATTATCGTGACAGGGAGCATGGCATTGTGTAGGCAGATGCGATGCTGGAGAAGTAGCTGAGAGTCAGACATTTTGCAGGCAACGGAAAATCGATTATGACACTGAGCGAAGCTAAACCAAAAGACCCCAAAGCCCGCCTCCACAGTGACACTCTTCCTCCAAGACCACACCTACTCCACCCCTCCTAATAGTGCCACTCCCTTTGGGGGCCATCTTCTTTCAAACCACCACATCCGGCATGATGATAAATGTCTATAGACTGAGTTGCTTGAGAGGCTAAGGCAGGTAGACCTCTTGAGAACAAGAGTTTAAAACCAGCCTGAGAAACATAGCAAAACTCCATCCCAAATGTGACTGTGAGTGTGTAAAATGTGTGAATATATATATACGTATATGTGTGTGTGTATAGACACTATACGTATGTGTGTATATATTATTTTTTAAAAAACAAGCTATGGAAATAACTGTTTAATTATGTCAAAGATAATCAGGATGTTATGCAAACAATTCAAGCTTGGAAGAACATGAACAGGAAAGTGTGGGATTCCAGGACTCTCAGACTTGAGTTCAAATCATAACTCCATCAAGTCCTAGTTACAGAATGACCCTAAGAAAACTGTTTAACCTCTGCGAGTCTCAGATCACTCAGCTGGGAAATGAAAATACTTGCTTTACAGGTTTCCTGGGAGAATGAAACGAAGTCAAGCATTAAAGCCCCCCAAGAGAACCCTGGGCGTGCAAGCTGGTGTTCGGTGAGCAGAGCAATGATGCTGGCAGTGCAGATATTACACACGTATTAAGACCCAACCCAGCTGTGTGTCTATTACAGTAATGTGCCCATTGACCCCAGCAGCCTTTCTTGTCCATTTAAAACGGAGAGAGCTGCAAGTGAGCACACACTGGACTGACGAGGAGGGTTAACAACCAAGGAGGGCCACAGGGTAGCAGGAGCTTGGGAGCATTTGCAGTCGTAACCAGGAAGTTATGGAATGTAGAAAGGATCCTGGCGGAGCAGCAGACTCTTTCAACAGAGTCATTACTCCCCCGAGAGCATGGAGTGGTGGGGAGAGAGACAGAGTGCGGAGGGTTAACCTTGTAATTATTAACCCAGACTCTAAACATAAAAGCTACATGGCCTGGGCGGAATGGACACCGGGGTCAGCCTTATCAGAAAATGAATCGGCCTCTTTGATCTCGCAGTACACTGACTCACTAATGTGAGCTTCCACCTCGGGTTTTTCCAGACACTGAAGTCCTTGCCTAATTCCCAGCTGTCTGGAATTTCCAGTTCAAACTGGCCTGAGAGAAGAAGAAGAAGAAGAAGAAGAAGAAGAAAAATCCTACCATCTTATTAGAATTCATACTCAGTGAAAAACATTACAGATCCACGCCACTAACAGAGAGGCGTGGGGGCTCCAAAAGTACCTTACAGTAAATAAAGACAACCTGTGTACGGATAATTCGCTCTATCCAGCTTGGAATTAAACACGGAAGTACGGAAAGAGGGGTGCAGGCAGTGAGAACGGGAAGGGTGAAGATGGGGAAAAAGCTAAGCGTGAACACTGAGTGAAGGAAATACAAAATACACAGGGGGGATCGGGATGGGGGATGAAAAACAGGGGAAAGAAAAGAGAAAAAAGGGGGCAGTGAAGCAAGAGCCATGACAACCAGCATCTCTCGCTTTTCCAGAAGCTTCTCCAGCCTCCCCTTCCATGAATTAATCAGCATGTAAATCGTTCCCTTTATCTGTGAAAATCGAATTGAGCTGCCAGGCCTGATGGAGGGCACACAGTCTCCTCACAGAGAGAGCCTAGCTCCCAGGGAGAATGCCTTTTTCTCTCCTTCAATCAGAGCCTGCAGAAGCCCATGCCACAGCTGCAGCTGGGGCCACAGCCTTAGCAAGAGGTGGAAGGCTGAGGACAGTAATTATAATTAGCAGTTACATAACATGTTTGTTCTTCAAAGTGCTGTACAAGGATCAGCTAATTAATAGCTTACTGGGCCCCATGCAGATCTCCTGGTTTTTCATGTAGTGACTAATCCTTGTGCCCCCACTGAATTCTGAACGGTGGCAGCCAAGGACCTTGAGCGACGGGCGGCAAACAGCGAAGAGGCCACAGCTATCCCCTGCTCTCTTCCCAAACGATTCCTGGGGAAAGCTGCTTTACCTTTATGTCTTGGATGCTGCAGGGATGTGACAGAGACCACCTGTCTGGCTCAGTTTGGTCTTAGGGAAACCGGAAGAGTCTGGAGTCCTTGGTCATTGCTACAGGCTTGGCCTTGCTTCTTTGCTCAGCCAGTGAGCATTTCCAGAAGAAGCTAGTATAGAGTTCTGGGTTCTCATCTTCTGTTTTCTCCCCACTCTCTAGCCTGCATCTTTTGCATTTAAGATGGAGATGGCTGAATGTAAGAATTTTCTGTCTACTCCAAGGAGTCTTCACCCACAGACTTTAGCAGTCTGTGAAGGTTTGAATTTCTCTACAAAACATTACAAGGACAGGTGAACATGCATTTCCTTGGGTAGAGGTCTGATTCTTCCACCACACTGTAAATTCCAAAAAAGGAGGCTTCACATATAGTGCACACTAAATAGATGTCTTTGGAAATGAATGGATGGGTAGGAGAGAGATCATCAAACTTCTGTCTCTCAGGGATGGGGAAATGGCTCAGTCTGTAAGGTGATTGCCACACATAAGTGGACCTAAAGTCGGCACCTAGAACTCCCATAGAGAAAGTAGGGCACGGTGGCCTACTCTTATAGTCCTGGTGCTAAGAAGACAGATACAGACAAATCCCTGGCGTTCACTGGACAGTCAGCTTGTTCGAACTGATGATCTCTGAGTCAATGAGAGACCCTGTCTCAAACAAATAATAATAAGGTAGATGGGTCCCGAGCAACAACATCTGAGGTTGACTTCAGGCCTCCAAGTACATCTGCATTCACTGCACTCACATGTACAGATGCTCTTGCATAAATACATACATTCACATACACACACACACTCACACACACACTCTCTCACATTCACTCTCTCTCTCTCTCTCACACACACACACACACACACATACACACACACACACACACACACACACACACACACGAAAGAAAAACATAACTGAAGCTGTCCATAAACTGGAGCTGCTAGGGAATAATCTTTCCCTACACTGTGAAGATGTGTCTCTGCCAAGGCACCTTCTGATTGGTTTAATAAAGAGCCGAACAGCCAATAACTAGGTGGGAGAGGATAGGCAGGACTTCTGGGCAGAGACAGGAACTCTGGGAAGAAGAGAGGAAAATCAGACATACAGCATGAAGGAGAGGCAACCAGACATGGAGTAGAACATAGATTAGTATAAACAACATAAATAATACAGACGCATATGTATGTATATAATAGAATATTTCTCACTTTTTAAAAGTAAGGAAAATGATATATCCTTGTGTCATTGGTATGCTTTAAAAATAGTATGCTAGCTGGGTGGTAGTGGTACTCACCTTTAATCCTAGCACTTGGGAGACAGAGGCAGAGCTCTGTGAGTTCAAGGCCAGCCTGGTCTACAAGAGCTAGTTCCAACACAGGTTCCAAAGCTATATGAGAAATCCTGTCTCAAAAAAACAAAACAAAACAAAAAAGTATGCTAAAGCTGGGTGGTGTTGGCACATACTTTAATCCCAGCACTCAAGAGGCAGAGGCAGGTGCATCTCTGTGAGTTACAGAACAGCCTGGTCTACAAAGCAAGTTCCAGGATAACCAGAGCTACACAGAGAAACCCTGCCTGGGCAGCGGGGGTGGGGAGTTGAGGGGTGAGGGGGTGGGGAAAAGATAGCATGCTAAGTAAAATAAACTAAGCTAAAGAAGCTAAAACAAACAACAACAAACAACTTCACTACCATATGAGTCTACTTATATGGAATGCCTAAAGTAGTCAAATTTCTGAGATAGAAAGCAGAAGAGAAGGTGCCAGGGTCTATGGGGGAAGGGGGAAGGAATAGGAAACTCCAGTCATAAAAGATAAGGATGTTCTGGAGATTGATTACACAATAAAATAGAGTAAAATAGATATACACAACACCAATGAATTGCATAGTAAAGAAAAATCAATATAATACTCTTTTTTGTATTTTGTGTTTTGATACAAATAAAACTTAATTCCTAGCATTTTGCCATCTTTTGTCTGAAAAGCTATCATGCCAAAAATGTGTTAAGAATATGAGAAAATGGTTTATAGAATAGATTTTCTTAGCTGGTTAAGGAGAGAAGGCAAAAAAAAAAACAAACTCATAGTAAATTATGGTATTTTAAAAGAAGAACACGTAAAACTCACTGTATAACTTATTTTCCCAATCTGCCTTCTAAACCATCAGGATTAAGCTGGTAAATCTAAAGCCAAGTGCCCACCCAAGCAAATGGCAGAGGCAGGCACAAGCCACGGGGAGGCAGCTTTGTGCTCCACCCTCATGCTGTTGCGTTCCCAGCTAGCAGGGCCTAGCAGAACAGAATCTGTACCTGCGCATGTGTGAGTGATTTCACTCCAGCCTTTCTCTGTGCAAACAGAAGTGATCTTTCCTCCAGGACTCTCGAAGCCCTCCTGACAGACATAGTGAGCCACACTGCCCAGGCTGGAGGTGGGATTCCCCACCAAGATGGCGTTCTGGACTTCGGGAGGGCTGCCACAGCTGATCTCTGCAACAAGAGGCAACAGGACACCTGTGATGAGCCCTGCCTTCCATGCCCACAACGAGAATCTCAGAAGCGAGCATTTCATGATGACAGGGGCCATTCGTCTGGGGAAAGAGAAAACACAAACTCCCTCAAATAACTCAAATATAATTATATAAAATTAAGGTTGTTCAGAAGTACAGGAAACTGGTATGCCTGGATATAATGAAATTTTCAAACGTGCACCCAGAAAGAAGAACCGAATTATGAGATGGCTTACGTATAGAGCTCCTTGTCTATGAAATAATACTTCATAGGGTTTATTTACATATGAAAGTTCTGTAGAGCTTTTTACTATGCATCTTCAGGCTACTAACTCTTGAGCTGGCAATAGTGCATAGTAGCAACTGTTGTAAGTAAAATGTTATAAAATCCTTGACACTTTTAAAGCAAAGCAATGCAGAACGTGCCTATCTTCCTACATTCAAGTTACAGGCAATTCTCAAGGGCAAATGACACTTGCAGAGAGACAGACAGATCAGAAAGTACTGAACTGATATGAAGTCTCTCTTCTGCAGCTTTAACAGGCAGTGGACTATTTGCACAGAACATTATGGGAAAGAAAGAGCATGACGTAACCGGCTTAGCCCATCCAAACCAGACCTCAGAACACAAGGCAGTCATCATCAGCCAGACGCTTTCAACTTTCAAAAATGTTCTGGATGTCTTTTCTGACAAAAACGCAAAAGAACCTAATAATATATTGACTTCATAAATACTTGTAAGCCCAGCGCTTAGGGGGGCTGAAGTAAGAAGGCTAAACGTTCAAGGACCATCCTGGGCTGCAGAGTGAAACACTTTCTCCAAAACCAAACACTAGTTGGATGAACAGATCACTTCTTACCCTCCTCCCCCTGTCCTCTGGCTGCAGACATTGTTCATGGCCTCTGAGCTTTATTTCATTCTCTTCTTTAAATTTCACTGATTGGGATGACTTCAGTGATGGGGTTCACCTTTCAGACCTAAGCCTACTTTGCAACATCCTTTTGGGTCCCCCCTCCTCTTTTAGTCACTTCAGAAAAAAAGACGCAAAACAAGCAAATAAATATGAATCACTATGCAATTCTGTCTTTAATATTGAAACATCAGAAGCCACCCAAATGTCCAAATGTTTATCAAAAGAGAATTGAGTGCTAGGTATGGTGTCCCACCTATAATCCCAGCACCCAGGAAGGGAAGGCAGAAAGAAAAAGAGTTTAAAGCTAGCCTTGGCTACAAGACGCCCAAGAAGAGCTAGAGAAAATTAGGTAAACTAGCCACAATGATACTGAGCAAGTCATAAAAAGACTAGAAGGGTCCACACACTGGTGTGAAAAGATGCCCAGGGTATAGAGGCATGGTACTGAGACAGACAGTGGGTTTCATCTAAATATCCAGAAGTCTCCCTTTGCATGGTTTCCCTTTGATTCCAAAGTTAACTACACACATGTGCTGAGCAATGGATTGTATAATGTGTGTTTAAAAAAAAACATAGGAACTTGAAAATACTACTTGCTGTCGGTCAATAGATTCTTATAGTCCCTACCCACACCCACATCCAACATCAAAAGTAACCTAGTCTGATAAGAAAAGGACTCAGGATCGGTCTGTCTCAAGAAATGGGGATGGGGAGACAAGTGTCAGGAAACACATGGACGAACAAGGAGATTGGCAGGTATGCAGACAAGACTCTATGGCCTTTTAAACAGGATCATTTGAAACAGCGTTCTTAAATGACTAAAGGTTGAGCAACGAAAAACAATTAGTAACAGAAACACGATTCCAAAGTATTTCAGTAAAACTTGAGCAGGGAGGCTTTTAGGGACTGTGGAAAGCTAACTCTGTCACCAGGGCGACAGGGGGACAGGGGGACAGGGGGCAGTTCACAGGGGCGATGCTATTCTAGAAAGAAAAGCAAACGAAAGAGGACTGGGGATGCAGCTCAGTGGGTAGAGTCTTCAGAAGCACGCTTGAGGTTCATCCCCATCCCCACTAAACAGAGAGTAGGGCACCCCAGCATTTAGGAGACAGAAGCAGGAGGATTTGAAATTCAAGGTAAGCTTTTAATCCCAGCACCTGGGAGGCAGAGGCAGGAGGATTTCTGTGAGTGAGTTCCAGGTCAGTCAGAGAGACTGAGAAACACTGTGTTGTAGGAACTAGAATTACTTCCCTAAGGAGCGCTTCCTAGATCAGCATTCTCATCTGTTGCCATTGGAGTTATCCAAAGATCTATAACACACACAGCAGCCCAGCCCACCTCAACAGTATTCTGGCTGAAAGTTAGCTTCCAGTCAACACAAACTCAAATCACAAGCAGTTATGGGACCAGAATAAAGCGGTGACTTCATAAAGTTCCAGCTCTGTCTACTCAGGTCCATGTTTGCTTACAGGGATCTGTTCCTTTTCATACATGTTTACCAAATACAAGACCCCTTAGTCCTCATGGTGTTTTTCCAGCATCAAACCTCTACTGGCCCAAATATTGCAAGTCATCGGTAATATTTGTGTGTACACAAGCAGTCAACCAAACAAGTAGTTAATGTTTCCTAAGGCTGCCCAGTCGCTTGCATAAAAAATTTCTAGTTTAAGCCAGGATTTGCTAGAGCAAATAGAAGAGGAAATAACAGAGGAGGGTTGGAAATTGAAACATCAATGAAGAACTGAAATTAAAAATATAGTTTTGTGTACCTTGAATATAGACTCCTAAAGATCTCAGTAGTGATGTTAGAAAAGGAACCCAAGCTGGGCGGTGGTGGCTCACGCCTTTAATCCCAGCACTTGGGAGGCAGCGGCAGGTAGATCTCAGTGAGTCTGAGGACAGCCTGGTCTACAGAGCAAGCTTCAGCACGTCCAGGACCATTACACCGAGAAAACCTGTTTCAAAAAAAATAAATAGAAAAAAGAAAGAAAGAAAAGAGAAGAAAAGAAAAAAAAAAGAAAAGGAAAAGGAACCCAGAAATAGATACTTGACAGAGGAACGTAGGTGCTGAGAGAGTAAGAATGTGGAAGAGATAACAAGGTTGGTTTCCATCTCAAACATATTCAAGAGCAATGGAAAGCATGAAGATTTTAGTTGTGATTGCAAGAAGTTTATACTTTACAGTAAAAAATATTTACCAGATTGATGAGAAACCATTGGCTTGGTCCCTAGAGAGCAAAATTCAAAAGGCAGACAGTACCTAGAGTTCTGTGAGTTCCCATTACAGAGATGTTCAAGTTGCACAATCCCCTGGCAGAAGAGATTTAGAAATACTGTGTGATTTGAACAAAACACATTTTTCTAAGCACTTTTCAATAAGAATCACATAGGGAGCATGTGAAACGCATGCATGTTGACTACTAGGTCTTCATGTGCAATAGGCTCCATGTTTGAAGACTTGCTCGTTAGCCAATGGTACTGGTTGGGGAGACTGCAGAACCTCTTGAGTGTCGGTCCAAACTGGGAGACACATGCTGCTGAGCATAAGCCTAGGACACTATCCTATCCATATTTCTAGACCCTTCTACTTCCCAGTCCTCCAAGACATAAGATATAGAGGCTCCTGGCTGTCACAGGCAGAACTAGCCACCGTACAGGGCTGTTTCCCTTGAACTATGATCTACAATTAATCGTTCTTTCCATAACTCGTTCTATTAGTTCTTCTGCCACAGCGACCAGGAGAGCAACTAACACGGAAATCAGTGCTAGGAAGTAAGGCCACAGCTGTGTAAACTTGACTGTGTGATTCACAGGCCTTGCTGGGTTGCTCTGTGTAGCAAGGGTCGGTTGAAGAAAGAAGGCATTCCAGAGTGAAATGATTTTAAGGCCTATGTGGCACCAGGAAGGTCCAGCCTCTCTGAAGGACTGAACCCCAAACAACCTTATATGGGCATATTTATCGATTGTCACACAAAGTACTTCCTCATACCAAGGTTCCTAGTCTAATTTGCATGTCTTACTGAAGGACATCACAGGGCCTCATGGCACTGTGTCTGCTATGTATTGTGTGCAATACACAATAACACAGGAGTCTCAGGCGTGCCTGAGGCATCTTGTGACCAAAGTCACTGGACAGCTGCAATGCCCCTTCAGCAAAACAATTCTACAGATCATGGGAAGCAAACATTGCTTTCCACACGGATTCTTCAGGGTCAAAGTCCTTCCAGAAAATAATGATTCATTCTAATGTTCACTCCAAATTCAGCGACTCGGCTTAATTCCCCCAACAGGCCTTCTAAACGCGCTTGTTGGGGGAACATTGGAGAATGTAGAGCTCTGGGTTACAGAAGCCTTACTATGCTGTAATCCAGTGGTTCTCAGCCTTCCTAACGCTGTGACCCTTTAATACAGTTCCTCGTGTTGTGGTGACCTCGACCACAAAGTTACTCTGCTGTACTTCATAACCATAGTTTTGCTACTATTATTAATTGTAATATAAATATCTGATAAGCAAGATACCTGATATACGACCCCTATAAAGGGTCTTTTGACCCCCCCACACACACACAAAGAATCACAACCCACAGGATGAAAGCCACTGCAGCAAGCAGAGCTTAACAGGCCATTCTGGTGGAAGCTAGGAAGATCTGACCACCAAGAGAAGTGACGGTGAAGGCCAAGCTCATGAGGTTTCAGGGAACAAGGGTTCTACTGGGACAAGCGAGGGGCTATTTGTGCCACACGCTGTCAAAGAGTCTTGTTGGAATGCCAGAACGTGATTTGTTTTTACTCTTTTGCTCTTTGGACTCTTTGGGGCCCATCACCCAGCTCCCAGATAAATCACACATGGAGGCTTATTCTTGCTTATTTATGCCTGGCCTTAGGTTGGCTTGTTTCTAGCCAGCTTTTCTTAACTGAAATTATCCTGTCTACCTTATACCTCTGGACTTTTACCTTTCTTACTTCTGAATATCTTACTTTCACTCTTACTCCGTGGGTGGCTGGGTGGCTGGGTGGCTGGGTGGCTGGGTGGCTGGGTGGCTGGGTGGCTG